GGGAGGGGGGGATTTTCTGCTGCTGTCTTTCCACCCCTGGCTGTGTGAATTATGCTATATAGTTTCTATATGTATCATTCTCACTGGTACTGTGCTTGGGAATGGAACTGCTAAATATGTGGTGTTTGATTGATCTGCGAGTGTCTTAATGTTTCTTTACAAACCTTGCAGAACTACTCATCGATTATCACCGTTCACCCAGAGGTCATTGATGGAAGGCCTGGAACAATGATAATAGAGTCATTTGTGGTAGATGTTCCAGATGGGAATACTAAAGACGAAACATGTTACTTTGTCGAGGCCCTGATCCGGTGTAACCTCAAATCACTAGCTGATGTGTCGGAGCGTTTAGCCGTGCAGGGCCATATGGAGCCTATTGACAGAATGTAGTTTACACTTTCTGCATATGCGGCAGTCTGGACATCGATCATTTTGCTAAAGCGTGAAAGGGATTTGATTAGAAGACGAGTAGAGTGACTGGTTTTATGCTAGTCCCTTCTCGATCTCAGTAGTATATATATACATGCTTCCTTTTAATCGTCTATAAGGTCACCGCAGTTTGTAACATGCAACTGGCTTATTCTTACGACGGGCTATTTTATAATGTAAAGAACCAGCTATAGTGTTTGTGGGCAGTGTGACTGTATTGAGCTTGGATTGTAAGTATCTATGCTCAGGAATGTGCTTCTTGTTGTTATAAGATCAAAAACTGTGTGGTTATGGCACTGCACTCTATATGCTTGTGTATCTTTGAGATTTTGGTGTGTTAATAAGTACTAGAAACAGTATTTGGTAAGTTAAAAAATAGTGTGCTTTTGCTTTTTGTTACTACACTCTATATATCATTTCTGAATATTGTATTATCTCCTCTGCATCACACTGTGTCTATCTTTCCTTGAGCCTAATTTGTTCTTAAGAATGGACCACAATATTTGGGGTCCAAAGATACCCGGTACATGTGATGGTGCGAGGTAGCAGGCATTCGCTGAAATTGTGTGGTGTCAGACTGCAAACTGGTCCGAATATTATCGTTATGAAAAAATATCTAAAAAGAGATGCATATATTGCTATTCAATAGTTCAACAACAACAAACTTAGTGTAATCCCACAGGTGATGTCTGGGGAAGTAATGTGTACGCAGTCCTTATCCCTACCTTGTGAAGGTAGAGAAGTTGTTTCCGATAGACCCTCGGCTCAAGAAACAATGAAAATAAAGTAGCGCACAGTAGCAACAACAATGTAATAGGAGCAAATGACACAACTTGTAATAATAAAGAACTAAGAATAAGAAACCAGGAATAAGAAAGTAACGCTATTCAATAGTTCAAAGGCTCTAATTGACTAGAATTCTCCTTTCCTAGATTCCTCCCAAAGGAAACAAAAAATAAACTAAAATGATAAAGAGATACTAATAAATAACTACTACTATCAACAAAAACAACAACAACAACCCAATGGAATCTCACAAGTGGGGTATGGAAAGGTTAGCGTGTACGTAGACCTTACCCCTACTCCGGAGGAGTAGAGGGGCGGTTTCCGATAGACTCAGGCTCAAGAAGATTAAATAACTGCTATACATCTTTAGAAAAAGATACAAAAAGCAACCCATTTGGCCTTTTCCCCTTTATTTAGCTGAGATATATTGGCTAAGATTAGACCATTTCAAATGGACAGAATATGGTATCAACTATAGTAGAGTCATTGAACTGTTGAAATGGAGAATAAGTGATATAGTGGGGAACTAACTTTAGTTGATGGGTGTGGCCACTGGCTTTGGGGGGAATGGTTTGGCTTAAGAGCTTTATTCTTCATGTCAGCAATATCTTCTAGTACTAGTTGCAAAAGCTTTTACGTAAAGCTGTGAATCTATGCTATAACGAGTAAGATAATAATACTATATTGAACTTTTGAAGTAGACATATATGGGTTGGGTATATAAAAAGCCAAAAAAGAAAAATATTAGGTGATTTTTTAATATGTTTAAATTTTGGTGAACAGAGTTACTCGATACACGTACTAATAAAAAATAACAAATACCTTATAGAATTAATTGAGCTGTGCGCAAGTTTTCTGAACACTATGATTAAGAAAAACTAGAAGATGGTGGAGTCCATTTTTGCGTAAAGTGAGCTGGCTAGTGTTCAATGCGACAAAGCCCGGGCACATGGTATTTAGCTGCCAACCAACAAGTGAAGTTATGACTCTTAACTTGGTATTTGTATTGGTTTTATTGATGCTATGGACAGAGATGGGCTCAAGATCATCACTGTTTTGTGACAATGTGTGTGAAGTACAATATTTATTTTTCTTTAAAAAAATTTAACTGTAATGTATATATTTCGAAACTAGATTTAGTGTAAGTGTGTTGCACGTGTATTATGCGTTATCCACAAAAGAACATATTTAAATTAGGTAGAATAAGAATGAATTAAGTATAAAGGTAATTGATGATACAACAAATATTTAAATGGTAAACTGTCTAAAATAGTGCATATTAAATTGAATAAGAATAAATGAAGTGTAATAGCAATTGACGATGCAAAAAAAGTTATTACATTAAAGAAATAGTTGTATTCAGCGTGTAGACACTAATTGAGTGTTACAACGAAGCATGGATGTGGTGATGTTGCTGGAATCATTAGTCAGACCGTTGCTACTCTCTTGATGTCATCTGTTGAACAATGCTGATGTGCGCCATGAAGAATATTGCTTCAGTTGTTACTGGTAAGAGGAAGGCACCTCTAAAATATAACGATATTGTCGATGCATTCAGCGAAACAATTCAGAATCAGTAAAAATAAATATAATTATATAGTTGTAATATATGTAAAATTCATGTATAATATGTATAATTAAATTGTGTATAGTTGAGAAAGTTTCATAAAAAAGAAGATATTGTTTGAAGAATAACAAAAGATCATCATACAATTATGTTTCTATGATATATGCTATGTTAGGTGGTGAATCTTACCTAATATCTCTTTATAGACGATGTTCTTGGTATATGTTCCTTTTTTTCGCTTTGGCTGCTCGGTCAAAGACTAAAACCTTTGTTGTTGACATAGATATTCCCCTTGAGAGTGCAACATATAATTGTCCATGTGAGAATACGTGTTGCGGTAAGTACAGTCCCACATTAGGTATTGTTTGTCCTTGTGCTTTATTTATTGTCATCGAAAAGCATAACCGTACTGGAAATTGTTTTCTGATGAATTTGAAAGGGTAACCTTCATTTCTGGAGGCGAAAGTTGAATTCTGGGAACAAACACATGTTTGGAAGCATTTTCGCTCATCATTATTTCTGCATGGATGACGTTGTTGTCAAAGCCTCTGCATATCATTCTTGTACCATTACATAAGCTATTTGCCGGGTCCAAATTTCTTAATAACATGATCGGAGCATTTTTCCTTAAAACCAACCCGTCAACAACAAATAATATCTTTAAACATAACAAGCAGAAGTTCAGGTTATCTATCATCCAAATGATTTCATAATACTCTTTCTTTTCTTTTCTTTTTTCTTTTTTAATTCCTTTAGCTGCTTTGCAAGCTACCAAGATAATTAGAATTATTCACCCTTGAATGCAACAGTATCTACTCGGACACTATAGTGGAAGTATGTTGAATCAAGAACAGACAGTAAATGCCTTTATTATGGACGCTTTATTCTGTCTCCACTTATGAAAGGCCAAGCCGACACAATAGGCATTGCGATGCTAAGATCTTTACTTGGAGAAATAGAAGGAACATGTATCACACGTGTAAAATCTGAGAAAGTCCCACATGAATATTCTACCATAACGGGCATTCAAGAATCGGTAAATGAAATTTTAATGAATTTGAAAGAAATTGTATTAAAAAGTAATCTATATGGAACTTCTGACGCATCTATTTGTGTCAAGGGTCCTGGATCTGTAACTGCTAAAGATATCATCTTGCCGCCTTATGTAGAAATCGTTGATAATACACAACATATAGCCAGTTTAACGGAACCAATTGATTTTTGTATTGGATTACAAATAGAGAGAAATCGTGGATATCTTATTAAAACGCCACGTTACTTTCAAGATGGAAGTTATCCTGTAGATGTTGTATTCATGCCAACATGAATGCGGTGGAGGCATTGGTAGAGACTTTTTTACTAAGAAATGTCATCCAACACAGTTTCACCCCCCCCCCCCCCCAAAAAAAAAGTTCTTACCTTGAGAAATAATCATAATGCAACTTAAATATTAGTATGGGAGAGTGCTTACCTCGAAAATACGAGTAACAATTAAATTTGATTTATGGTTTTAAAGATATGTGATTAGATTCAATACCAAGTAATAATCAAGAAATATGAAGTAGAAACGAAAGAAACAAGTGAATCAAACCAAAGTTACTCAGTAGCGGGGACCTCGAGGTAGGTTAAGAGCAATAAGAACAATTAAGTAAGAAAACTAAAGTAAGAGCAATGAGCTAAAGGACAATTCTGATGAACAGTAAGAGAGAAAAGTAGGATAGTATATTCTTGCCAATGATGAGGTGATGTTACAAATGATTGAGGTCCCCTTTATATAATATAGGCACCCTAAATAAGGTATATTTCTATTTATAGTAAGGAATATTCTTGGTACAGCTGTCTAACTGCCTGGTACGGAATAGTACAATCCTATCCGGAATTTGCGCCGTGATCTTGGGGACGTGGAAAGAATCTAGCCCATTCTGTCACAAGTCTATAATAGTACTATTCCGGGGTCGAGCATACTCGTCCTTGGTATGTATCGTGCTCTGCCTTCGAACCCGGGTCTGGTCCCTCGAGCTCGAACTCGACCTTGCCTGAACTCGGGCTTTGGACGATCTCTCGAGCATATAGATCGAAGGCATACGATCTCGACCGTATATAGATAGTCCCCGCATTTGTTAGAGTAAGATGATAAGAAACGATTTGAACCTCGTTGTCCCGGAGTCTTTAGTGATGACGTTATTTCCATGACATATGCGCTCGAAGTAACTGAAACGTCTCGTCGGTTCGCTTCCCCAAAACATTAAATGTACGCCAGTGCTGGTCGGCCATTAGCGCCGCCGAACTGTCGTCACCTTTCTATAAATATGGGGCTACTTCTTCAAATGATGGACTTTACTCTTTCATCACTTTCGCTCTGATTCTTCTTCATTTCTTTCCCTAATCATCTGCTTCCACCGTCCCTTTGAGTGCCGCAAAACGCCAAGTCCCCGTGAAATACCACTTTTTTTTTGCTACGGTCTGTATTCTTTAGCTTAAAATCATGGCTAAAACTTCCAAAATGGTCCCCCAAAAAGATAAAGCGTCGTCTTCTTCTTCCTCTCAGCCGGTAGTGCTGCCGACTCTTGAAGAAATCACCCCCGGCCCTTGCGTGATTAAGAAGGACTTCAGTATTGAAAATCCCCTCGATGTCCCGGGCTGATGTGAGCATGCATCTCGATATCTTAGTTTGATATCAGAGAAGAACCTCAAAGCAATGAAGAGGGACTGCGGCCAGGGAGACGAGGTCCTGGTTCAGATCCCAAGCCCCGAGGAAAGGATTGCTACCCACGTGGAGGGGGTTTTAAGTGTTTACACTTACCCCTTCACACTGGGTCCCCTCGATCCGGTGGTGATTGACTTCTGCAGAACGTACGAAGTCACCCTCGGCCAGATTCACCCCTCCTTTTGGCGCATCGTGATCATGTTGCGCTACTTTTCCGAAAAGGCCGAGGGGTTGGAATTCATCCTCAACCACCTGATTCGATTGTATCGGCCCCAGCTGCTTCGAGGGCTTATCAAGATGCAACGTCGAACAAAGAAAGCCTTCTTTTCCAGTAACGACGAA